TATGGGACCTCTAACAGTGGAACCAGTCTTTAACCCTAGAGCACAAATGAACTTTGGGGGCCCACTCCCTATGGAGGGATACTATCACAACCCAGATACAGCAAGGAGAGCCTAGGTCCTCCCCCAAATGATATGACAAACTCTGAATGCCTCTGGTAGAGGGCCTCACTATCCCTGGGGAGGAGTTGGGGGATGGGTTGGGGGGGTTGGTGGGGAACATGGGTGGATGGAAGGCAAGGGAATGGGGCATAATTACCAAGGGAGAAAAAGTAAACAACAGTCATATGGACCTGTAAAGTCTATAAACCACTACAATGACAATCTTGCAACATATCTCCAGTGGTGCAACAGTTGCACTTGGGGATAACCAACAGCTGTCTAATTGAATTTAAGGAATGTTAAATAGGGTGTGGGGGGATTAATGTAAGCTACTGCAAGTCTAACCAACTACTGATGGCTAGAGAGGACCTTAGAGAACCTACCAGAGGTATTTTCTGAGCAGTATAATTTCTAACTGTAATCTAAATATGTATTCTTATATACACAGGGAAGTACAGAGCTTACTTGCAGCAGCCAGACACTATTACAGGAATCTATGGCTTGTAAAAATGCTGCATAAAGTAAGTGACTGTGGAGTGCCCAATCCCAACTGATGCCTACGATGCAGCCCCTACAGCTAATGCTCAGGGAAAATCATGGAAGAGGGGGTGAAAAGATTGTCAGAGCCAGAAGACCTGGACACTTTTTGCTTGATGTTGTACTCCAGACATAACAAGGAAGCTGCATCCATGAAATCTCAACTATGTGAAGGCCTAAATAAGACTTGCATAAAGATAATACTAGTTGACATAACAATATGGATGGGGAAATGTTTCATAATGACCCACAACTAGACAAAGAGCTACAATCAATCAATGGCTCCTGAGTGATAGGAATCAGTTTTTTTTTGTTTTTTTTTTTTTTTTACAGGGATGAGTGCCATGATAAAGCACAATTGGTCAGTCCCAAACACATGAGCACACAAGCAACACTAAATTGGTTTTATGCCTATCCATACAGTTATAGATAAATATAGAAATGTAGCATAATAATTAAAGATGTCATGAAGTTGAGAGGAAGTATGTGGAGGGTATGGAAGAGCTGGAGTCGTGAGAGAAGGTGTGGAAATGATACAATACAGTACTCCCATACAAAATTATAAAAAAATGAACAAAGGATCTAGGGTTTTGAAATCAGACAAACACATCCTGCTTGTGTCACTTAGAAGCAATGGGAAGATTAACCTATCTCTTATGGTATCATTTTCCTCATCTGCAGTGGAGAAGTGAATACCCACTGACAAGTACTGTGTTTGGCATGTGGTATGCACTCTATCACAATGGATATTGTTCTAATATCCACTAGACTTTTTTGAAATGATAATCTACATAGTATGTCTTCTAACCTCTCCTCTGCACACTATATCATGCTAGAAGAAAATCACTAAGGTTCCACCTTATTGAAAGAATGGGTCTTTGAGCTGCAATCCAGGAACAGAAAGAACATATGTAGCTGTGTCTAAAAATAACCTCTGTGGAAGCCCATGAATAGTCAGGTACTTATTTCTGAGCTAATCCTATATTAACCCCACTTCTTTCCATACATGGATGGATATAGAGTACACAAAATTGTCTTCAGCTCTTCTTCATCACCTTAAAGCTCCCTCAACTTTTTATCTGTACTCCATAATAGGCATAATTATTTATAAGAACAAAGGTGTAGAGTGTTCTCAACATGTCCCAGACTTCAGAGATCCAATAAATCCAAACTGATGCTACCCAAAATGTGGAAGTTATAAAACACATTTACATATTCCACTTTCCTCATTGAAACCATTTCCATACTTTCCCCATACTCCAGTGTGCCCTAGAATGCTACTTTTTAGAATTGTATTTTGCATCAGGACAAATTATACAAACATTTAACTCATACTTTTAGACCCTTGAAAATGTTAATATATTTTTTTCATGTTAGAAGGACATGTGCTTGAGATTGATGAACTAAATTGTGTTCCTTCAAAATTCACATGTTGTAGCTCTAATTACTAGCACCTCTTTTTGGTATTTGAAGATGAAGACTTTATACACCCCAGTAAATAAAAACAAAGCTGTTCAGTGATCCCTCTTCTAGTCTAACAAATGTCTTGTTTGAAGAGGCCATTATGACATGCTGAGAGAGTTACTAGACATGCATGTACATTGACCAAACCTCATGAGGAGACAACAAGAGAGCAATTATGGGGAAAGCAAGGAGACATTAGCCAGTAGAAAGCAATGCTGCTGATACCCTGATCAGAACTCTAAGAAAAGAATTTCATCTGTTTAAGCCACAAATTGTATGGCATTTAATTACAGTTCCCTTAGCACATTAATATATACCCTATGCAATCATTGAGCTATGTGGTGGCATAAGTATAAATTATTGATCTAATTGAGGACAAAGTTGAACTCAATGCCATCTCAGCGGCAAGATCCATGTGAAGATCATCAAATTCCTGTTAAAATTGCATGCTAGTCTTCTCTCTGTCTTGTCCCAACTCTTCCTCCCTGTTATAGATACTGTGACAGCACACCAATAAATTTCCTACATGCACATATCCATTACAACATTCATTTCTGGAAGATATTCTTTTTGTTCTTTTCCTCCAACTTTTATTTTTTTTCTTTTTGGGAATGAGAAACAAGATTGTTTTACATGTCAATCCCAGTTCCCACTCCCTCCCTTCCTCCCCTCCCACCCCCACCCAACTAAAACCCTACCTATCACATATCCTTTCTGCTCCCCAGGGAGGGTTAGGCCTTCTGGAAGACATTCCTATGAGAGACAAGTTAACTAGATAAGGAGTGCATAGAATAGAGTGAGCATTTAGCATATGAGCAATTGCTTTCAATGCCAGGTGTAGGTCAATCATTCCAGGATTTTAAACATGAAGAATTTATAAATAATCAACTAACCAATTCATTAATATAATATTGTTTGCATGAATTAATTTTACTGTATCCTATCTCTCTAAAATGACATAGAGGTGAGGTTTCAGAATCAGATTTAGTTTGATAAAGAAATAATGTGGAGAAGCACCCATGGCATCCCCCGTCTTGACAAGGAGAAAAGGAAAGGTGTCATGCCCACTCACTCACACAAATCCCCTTTATTCTATTTTAACTTAAAATAGAGTGATCTTAATTGTAGAGCAGTATGAATTAATGTTTTATGGTGAATAACTAGTTTTACACACTATACCAATTTTCCTGTTTTATCTCTTGTCAGTTCTAACATGGTTTATTGACTAGCATTGACCAGAATTACCAAAAATATACTAAAGATATTTGACAAATATAAACATTGCTTACAGGTACAATTTTTAATCAAATTTAATTCGTTTATATATACATAGTACAATCAATAAGACTCAGAGAAAACAAATGTGAAAAAGCTTATTTATTGGAAATTTATTTACATCTGTTATTTCTGTTCTCTTTTGTGGCTCAAGAAAGACAAAAGGCAGAAGAAAGGGCAGGATTGAAGTATGTTTTTGTGAAGAAGAATAATTTGATGATAATTCTTTCTGTATTTTATAAATAAGAAGGTCATTTAAAAGATTTGTCTAGACACGTGCTTGAAGAAACAGAAAAGGCTACAGGTGAGAATGAAACAAAGCCTGAGTTCCTCAGGACAGAGAGGAGATGGAAGCATAGGCATCTTTTTATTAGTACTCAACCACAGGGACTTAGCACTTTCTGTTGTTAAAAATGGATTCTTCTCTTAGATATTGCCAAGGTTTACTTTCCAACCTCTAATAGGTCTTTGGTCATGCATTTAATTCTTAAATGTCAATTTCCTCATGCCCTATTTTAAGTTACAACCCTCACCATCCACCATAACAGATTCATCAGCTGATTTTTCTTTATTACATTTATTTGGATATAGCAAAATTAAATATTTCACTCATTTTTATTGTTTATTTCCCCACTACAAACAAAGCAAGCACATGTTTTCTTTGTTTTGGGTTTCACTGTACCAATGGTATCTGACGCTGTGTCTAATAGCCAGAGTTTAGTGATAAAACGTGATGGGATAATCCCTGTAATATATTCAAGTCTGTATAGTGTGAACATTCCTGGGAAATGTATGAGGTAACTCTCAGAGTGCAATGGAGCAGGGGTTGAAGATGAGACTTGTTCAAACTTAAAGAAAACATGTACTTTATGCTTTTAATGATTAATAGTTGTGCTTTTTAAACTTTTGTGAAAGGGTTATGCAAATAAGGTTTGAATCAACTACCAGTATGGGTTAATCATGTTTATAGAGATTAGTAGAGCAAAGACAGCAATGATAACCATGTAAAAGGAATAACATTTTATTATCTGCCATCTGAAAGAGATACTTTTGTCTTCACTTCTCTGAAATGGTTTTATTGAGATTATTTAACCTTGCATAATTAGCATAGATTTGATAATTCTGTGTTTGGGGAAATTAGAATTTCTGTAACTTATTTATCTTTTCACCCATTCTTCAGTCTTGTCTCAGGACAAGAGAAAAGACATACCTCTGATTTTGAAATTTGTCAGGAAAAATAGAGCATTTTTATTCCATTCTAAATATTAAATGAGACATATTAACTCATCCATGCTCAAAACAAACCAAAATGTGAACACCCAATCATTTTTCAAATTCTCCTAGGAATCTGATGGCTTTAAATCTTCAAAAAAACTTTTGACATCTTCAATTCACATCCCCACATGAATCTGTCTGCAGTCTCAAGAGCATGACCTCCTGGAACCTCTTTATGAGAGCAAGAGAACCTGTTCAAGTGTCACAGAAGACATTAACATTCTATTCTTGCTATCAAAGACAAAATATATGGGGTCACCAGAGTTGTTACAGTCGCATCATCACAGCAGAGAGAATGCACACCAATGAGAACAGCAAGCAGATTCTGTACCTCATGCTGACAAAGGTTTCCTTAACCAGCTTAAGATTCTCAAGAGCCTTGTCCTTGTCTTTCTGTGACATTCAATGGATCATTTACTTCAGCAGACTCTTAAGCTGTCACAGCCAGAATGTCCTGTTCTCCTGAAAAATCATCAGCTTTGATATCTGAATCGTTTCCTGCCCCCCCCGAAACAATGTCCCAGGTGATCCAACATCTAAAACAGCAGAGATGATGCAGCCTTGCAGACTACAAAAACAAGGACCTGGCCAGATTTCTGTGTTTTATCATGATCCCCATGGTAAGGACATTGCTCCCAACCAGCATGAAGCAGTTTAGAATGAATGATGCCCAAATTCCCAAATATTGTTTATAAATGTTTGTTTTCATTTAAATGGGGTTGGTTATAAATGGTAATGATTACAGTCAATCTCTTTTTAAAAGAAAAAAGGGGAATAGGATATCGAAATGAATACTTTGCATTCATATGGATTTTCTTTTATTGATACAATTTTAAGGTCAATTTTGTGATATGTATATTTCTCTTATTGTTTAGGTATTGTTTATACAGATATTTAAAAATGAATGTAATGCATAATTAAATACAGATTGTATATAGTCAGGTATAATAGTCAAAACTTACAGTTAGGTTAGTTGGGTTTTCTAGATATAGAAAGATGTATTTGAGATGGGTAGATATTCTTGAAACCTTTAAAAGATCTACAGAATATATGACATTTAAATGGTTTAGGGTTTTTCATGATAGTGAGACACAACTGCTCCTGGCACACCAATTATGTCAGAAAGGAGGATGGGCATCGAATAAACTCAATATAGAGTTTGCCTTCAACATGGCAAGATTAGCCATTTGGGCAAGAAACTACTCTTGCCTGGATTGTTTGATAAACTGGACATGCAGGACCCTCAGGAAAGTGACTGCTGAATTTGCAAAACAAGACAGTCCTGAAGGGTTCCTGCTACACCGAGAAGTCTGCCAGACACACTGTGGCTTTTAGGCTGAAGATGGATGCCCCAACATTACAGAGGAACTTTGAGTGACTGTCCAGGTAGTGAGTTGTCTCTGTCAGATCTTGAGTTTATATATTATCCTCCTGTGGTCTTTGATGGAGTTGAAGACAGATAGTTATGGTTATGGTTTTCTTTAGTTATTATAAAAGATAAGCTACATATAAGACTTTAGGCTCACAAAGATAGGATAGATTATAGAATATTTTCTTTAAAATCTTGCTAAATGTTAATTAACTAAATATTGTAACTATAGTTCTTACTTGATAGATGTTTTGTTATATATTTTACTCTGTTATATATTTTACTTTTTATTTAGAGAGAAAAGAGGAGATGATGGGGGAGGTCCTTCTCTTTGTCTTATTGGCTGAAAAATAAAGCACTGTTGGCCAATAGGGAAGCAAGTTAGGTGGGACTAGGAGAGAAGGAGGATTCTGGGAAGTGTAGAAAAGAGGAGAGTCACCATATGATCCCGGAAAGAGAGGACACATGCTGCTGGCGTCCTCTATAAGATAAATCTTTATAAAATATATAGACTAATGGTTATGGTTGATACTTAAGACAGAGCCAGCAAAAAAGAAATACTAGTCATTGGCCAGCAGCACTGTAAATAATGTAAGACTCTGTGTGTTATTTGGGGGCCCTAATGTGGTGGTGGCATTCAGGAGGTTGGTTGAGTTATTGATACACCTCAGCTTGCCTTTTGTTTTATATGAAGACATATTATTTCATATTTGAGTGTGTGTGTGTGTGTGTGTGTGTGTGTGTGTGTGTGTGTGTGTGTGTGTGTGGGCACCTGTTAGTGAAGGGGACTGAAGGTCAGAGAATGCATTAGACGATCTGGAGCTGAATTTACAGGTGATTGAGCTCCTTTGGAAAAACAGCAAGCACTCTTAAGCACCAGCTCTCCAGTCCATTGTGCTTAATCTTTTTACTAAATAATTAGCTTGCTTTTAGGAAGATACACATTAGGACAGTTTAGCAAGACTCCTCCTACCTTTGGTGTCTCCTCTTTATCAATGTCTAACCACTAAGCCCTTCTTTTTTGTAATAAATCCCTCCTTTCCTTCTTGGGTTCAGAGGTGACTCTAGCCTGTTCTACCAGATGATGGAATTGATCTTTATTATAATACTGTTGAATAAAGTCTTCCTTGGTGTTTTAAACAATGTCAGAATAATTTCTTTTTTAGTGTTAGGCAGGTAAACACAGAACTCATCCTGGGTCTTTGGAAATGTGGGAAGGAGCAGACATTGAGTCCCACTCACTCCTACTAGCAAAGAATCATGGAGTTGACCAGGTCTTCCTGCCTTGACAGGCATGTGTCTTGGTTTTTTAAGGCTTGAGCCTGTGGCTCCTGGGGTATTTTGTGTGTCTTTCAGTTCCCCAAGAACCTGAGACACTCCCTCAGGTAGTGAATCATACAGCCCTCCTGTGTGACCCCAAGTTCCAAATGGCTTGGTGAAGCATGTAGAAAATAGCTGAACATTTAATGTTAGAAATTAATCTAGTATTCCCTGTCAAACTTGTAAACCACCATTGTATCCTATTATGATAAGTGTACAAAATTTTGATTGCTTGAAATAAGCTTGTCTCAGCCTCAGTCTTGCTGAGTTTCCCTCCAGTTTGGCCTGATTCATTCCTATCAACTGCATCTGTAGACCCTGTTTGGTGAGAAAATGCTGGCATTTACAGACAATGATTTTGGAGAACATAGTGATGGGGAAGCAACTTTCAACCTCTGATGTTTCCTGTTGCCAAGGCATAAACTCTTCAAATTCACACAATAAGAGTTCTACTTTCAATAGTATCAAGTTTCAGTGACTTAAAAACACAATAGGCTAGCTCTGAAGAAAGTTTGTGAAGATTGAAAATGTATCTTCTTGAAACTAGAGGTGGTTACCCCAGTTAGGATAAGGATGGGGGTGTACCTTTTTTGAATCTGAGACTCAAGCCTCATTATTGTCTACAATTTTCATTCTCTGTTACTTTTTTTTTCTGTAAGACCTGACTTTCTAATGTCACAGTCTATTCACACAGAATAGTTTAAACAAGGAAAACCATAATCCTGAGATGACAGGCCATAATAATTTTCTGATAGAGTTCACTGACTTCTAAATGCTAAAAGTCTGTCTTTGAGTAGTCCAAAAACCATAACCTTAGTTTTGTCTTTTTTTGGGGGGGGGTTGGGGGTTCAAGCTGAAGAAAAACTATATATTGTAAGTACAATAACTCTATACAGCATATGCAGGCAATAAATACATCAATAGTGCCTAATCCATTTGCATTCGACAAATCCATAGAAAATACCCATCTTCCCTGTCTTGGTAAGTCCAAAATGTTGTAACTAATTCAATTTCTATTCTAATTTGCATTATCAAATTATCTTTTAATGTTGATAAACCTTTTACCCTTTACACTTCTTTACTGAGTTTCTTTTTTTCAGATTTTTTCCATTTTAAAAATTATTTATTTATTTATTTTTATATATTTGAATTACAAACATGATGGGGGAAGTACTTCTGTGTATGTTTATCTTATTGATTGTTAAATAAAATACTGTTTGGCCAATGAGACAGCAAGTTAGACAGGACTAGGAGTCAAAGAGGATTCTGGGAAATGTAGTAGAGAAGTGGTGATCCAGGCAGGAAGTGACATAGCAAGGAGACTCATATTTAAAGAAGGAGAAACAGGAAGCATCCCTCTTTCCCCTGCGCTCCTGCTCCAGTAGCACAATGTGATCCACCGGCAAGGAAGGGCGCCAATAAGGCATTCAATAAGATAAGTCTTATAAAATATATAGATTTATGATAATTGAGACTGAGCTAACACATGAGAATCCTAGTCATTGGCCAAGCAGCTTTGAACCTAATACAAGTTTGTGTGTATTCATTTGGGTCTAACTCAGGCGGGCAGCTGGTGTAAAGCTCACACATGGTGGTGTGGCTCAGGTGGCATTTGGCGGAAAGACTTATCTTAACACAAACAGGATTGAATTACATGACGATCCCATTCCCTTCTCCCTCCCTTCCTCCTCTACCAACCCCCCAAGTAAAATCCTACCTGTCATATGTCCTTTCTTCTAATCTACACCTGACACAAAATTTCTGCTTCCTCATGACCTCTGCATCCTTCCTTTTCTTCCCTTCTCACTCTTGTAGCTTCCTCCCTGCTCTTCCCATGTTCATAATTTGCTCAGGGGATGGTGACCCTTTCCCCTTCTCCAGGGGACAAAATTGTCTCTTTTAGGGTCTTCTTTGTTTACTAGTATCTCTGGCAGTGTGGATTGTAGGATGTTAATCCCTTACTCTATGTTAAAATCCACATATGAGTGAGTACATATAGTTTTGTCTTTTGTGAGCATTTATATTTTATACAAATAATTATGATAACCCAACAATCTTTAATGTGCTATATAATTGTTAGGATTATTGTTAAAGAATGGAAAACATGTCAAAATTAATTTATTAATATTTCAGTAAGTATGTTCTTGAAATTCCCATTCATCATTATATCCATATACATGTTTAGGTATGCACTTCATTTTGCTTTGTCTCTTACCTACTACACTTCATATTCCATTATCAAAAGAAAAGATTAGTGTTTTCTTCATAGTGTGTATATATCTCCACAACAAATAAAATACTAGGGGATGTATTTCTAGAACTTCATCAATAAAATAAAATTGTTCTAGCTCTCATCTATTACAATGTAACTGGAATGGGAGGTAGTTAAGAAACCTTTAAAAAGTTCTATAAGTCAGACAATTTTTGTGGTACTATTGCTGATAAAAAAAGAGAGAGAAAAAAATTAAAAATAGAGGTTAAAAAAAAAAAGGCGTTGTTGTTTCCAGAGAAATGCCTCTGATAAGTGATATCAAGGGAAGCAATTGCTTTGGGTATGTTGTTTCTTTGCTGGACTATGGGGGACCTAAGAAATTGGACAGCTTCAAATGAGCTTGGGTGGCAAGATGTCATTTAATTTCTTCCTTGAGCACTCATGCTGCTACGAATCTAGATGACACAACTCATTACATAGAGAAATAAGAAGGGGATTTTGGTTACGATTAGAATAGTACTTGCTTGCAAATAAAGTCTTTAAAGTATACATTTTAATGCTAGAAATTATTGCCCTGAGGCTTACTGAGGCTGTATAAATCATCTATAATTTCTTGACAGATTACTCTAATATTTAGGGAGGGACTTAAAAATGAAAAGTGTTTTAGTTACTCACAATCAGGCATTCATTCAATTTGCAATGTCTGAGCTGTTTGATTTTTGTAACTGAGTGATGTAAACACTTGTGTGGCTAAGATTATCTTGCACCTTGACTATGGCTGAAGGATCTATGTTGGTATCATTCACATATTTGTTGACTGTATTTGCTTTA